GTCACTAAATGAACTGTTGCAAGTTGAAAACTACCTGTATATAAATGAAAGTAGATGAACGATTATTATGATGGGCCACCTTCACTTCTTTATTCTCTAGTATACTGTTGATTTTTATAAGTATCTGAATATTATTCTTGACAATGTCTTGTCAACTGTTTGGTTGGAGTATGTCCTTACCACTTTCAGGACCTGTAATGTCCAGGGTTGTCACCTTTATCTGCCCTACAATAAAGCCAGCCTTAGAATTGTATATTTAAACGTTATATAGAGCTGGGATATCGCAACAAAGATTGTAACAAAGGCAACAGTAAAATATTGGGCTTTCTGTCTGGATGGTCTCTTGNTGACTCTGTAAACCGCTTAGAGAGGGCTGAAAGCCCTATGAAGCGGTATATAAGCCTAACTATTGCTATTGCTAATAGACAGATCCAATAATGGTCCCGACTCAGAACTGTTATGTATATGTTCATACAATGTCACATGTGTCAACTTGCAAAGCATCCCTGGCTTCCTCTTGAGTTGCCATAGGCAGGAGGGGGAAAAACTGATGGAGCAGTATGGCAGCCACAACCAGAAGAACATTTCATGCAAACTTTTCCCAGGGCTGTATTCGATACCTGCAATAGCCGGAGGCCCGTAATCTCCACAGCCCACGAAAGTGTTCCATTGGCGAATGACCCACCCTGGGAGCAGTGGCGAACAGGGTCATAATTGGGCCATAAATTACGAGGGGTCAGAGCTGGCTTCACTTGGGTACATGCCAGTGGTGGGTTTCAAAAATTGTTCGAACCTACTTTAATCAGTTTGGACTGATTAAAAGTATTCCTATTTACATTTGCTTGTGGCTTTCACTCCTGGATGGAGAAGGGGGGTTGGAACACTTACCTTACCTATGGTGTGCATTTGTGCACGAAGCGAACTGGTAGCAGAGTTCAGAGCATTTCACCCCGGCAATAAAGTTATTCTAAAAATGCATTCAAGTCAAAATTAAAACACTCCCTTTCCAATATTAATAGATCCACGGCAAAATGTTTCCCTAATATTTTTTTATTTCAGAGAATTCTATGTCAAGTAGAGTTGGCAAACAAAGGAGAATGCCTGCGAGGTACATCATGACAAATGGTCAAGAATTTAGCTTCTGAGTTGAGCTTATTAAGCTAGTCCTGCTTCAACCTTGCAAAGTGTTTACACAAATGATCTCTCCATCTATCATCCGGGGCAAGACTCATTATAATTTTCCTGGCAGTAAAATTGTTTCTGAGCCATTTATCACTGTTATTAAAATGTTCTGCTGTGGATCAGAATAGCAATTTAGTATGAGGTCCCAACAATCTTCCAAAAGCTTATTCATTCAGCCCCAGAATTTACATTTCTAATAAGCTGTCCCTTTGCAAAGATTTTGGTTAGCAAAAAAAAAAAAAAGGAGTGACTGGAATTTGATATCGGGCTTGGTGCATCTTGATGATCTCTGCCTTAGTTTAAACTTAAATGTGTCCAGAATGCTTCACTCTTCATAGTTTAACATTTCTGTGTTCGCTGGATTCAATAAGTACATTTTTAGATTCCAACCAGAATCAGCTTTTGAATAGGCAAAGATCCTCAACATGCTTTTCTACCTGCCTACAGTACAGTGGTGGGATTCAAAATGTTTTACTACCGGTTTTGTGGCTGTGGCTTGGTGCCTGTGGCTTGGTGGGTGTGGCAGGGGAAGGCTACTGTAAAATCTCCATTCCCTCCCCACTCCAGAGGAAGATCCCGTAGTTCACTTGTGGCTATGCATGGATTCTAGGCTGTGCCCTTTTTTAACTCCACCTTCAGGTTTTTCCACTCCTACATTGTAGCCAGTTCAAAAATATAATGATAAAAAGCAAGAAAACTAATTTTCAGTGAAATCAGGCCAGGTGATAGAAGGAACTCCCTATCCAAATGTCAGCCTCTTTCTTCGCAATGACCAATTTATGTTTATGCTTGATGCTTTCATGTTTTTTTGCAACAGTAGCAGCTGCTAATGTTTGGTGATGGCTTTCTGATTTTTATTCATAGAAAATAAATATTTGATTTGTGCTGCCGATATGCAAGTCTTAAGTATATCAAACAAAACATTGTCTTGAGAAAAATAAAAACAAATTTTCCTTGCCTATCAGCATTTCATCATATGGTAGTTATGACCTAACTTTCAGTGATGCTCTGTCATTAATCTCAAATGTATTTCTTTTACTGAATTGCAATCGGGACGATCAATAATTGCTCATACTTGCTTGCATAATGAGTAAGTCCTATTTTTAACCTCTGCTTGAAAGTCATTTACAGCCAGGAAATCTCCAAAGGTGATTTTATTTTATTCTCGGAGGAATAATGTATAATGTATTTGTTCATAGAGTTTGGATTACACTTATATTTATGTTTATTTGTTCTGCTGCCTTTATTTTTACCCAGAACAGTGGTGGGGTTCAAAAGTTTTACTACTGGTTCTGTTGGCATTGCTTGATGGGTGTGGCAGGGGAAGGATACTATAAAATCTCCATCCCCTCCTCACTCCAGGGGAAGGATACTGTAAAATCTCCATTGCCTCCACCCTCCAGGGGAAGGATACTGTAAAATCTCCATTCCCTCCCCACTCCAGGGAAAGGATACTGTAAAATCTCCATTCCCTCCCCACTCCAAGGAAAGAATACTNATCTCTGAGGAGCTCGGTGGAGCCCTCCTCGGCAACAGGCCACGCCCCCAGGAAGTGATTCTGGACGCATTTTTGATTAAGCTTCCAATAAGGCTTAATTTCGTTACCATAGTGAATAGTGCCAATAGTCTTGCTGAGCAAACCTACTCAATTCAGTGAAGCTCAAATTCATTGAGATATGGATCAATTCAATGAAAATAATGCTGGGCTTCAACTCTAGCTGATTCATTGGATTTTGGTCAGTTGTATGCTTTAGATTATGCTATAATGAAATCATTGCAATCCTTTTTTCCATTCGGGGTATCCATCTACATATATATGTAGAGGCACAAGCACAGCAGACATATACTTCTTTCCTTGCTCCCCAACATTGTATGTTCCATTGGACTCCCCTTTAATAATCAGACAGCGTGGTATTTATACAGAAAATCTACATTATATTGCAGAGAGTTGATGTAGCATCTGGAAGACACAAGATAAGTAAAAGCTAGTAAGAACTTATTTCTGATGGACTGCAATGTTATTAATCAATGCTTTATGATAGAAGAAAATCCCTTGTCCTTGGAGAACTTTTTCCTTAATTGTACATTTCTTCAAAATGCAAAGTTTTCCTGATCTTGACAGAATTCACATCCCCTGATATTCATATGGAGAAGACTTTGATAATTTGGATGAGAGATTCTTGGGTTTAATCAAAATTTCAAGATCTCTCTTTAAAACCAGTATCATTCCGGATTGCCTAATTATTTGGTAATTTTCAGTCACCCTAAGAACTTGTTATGAGCTTTCTATACACTCTTGAAATAAGTAAATAAAACCTGTCAGAAACTAATATAGGCTTAATTTTAATTTGTGAGTTTCATTTGCTTTTTTATATATTCTGTATGCTAATTGTTTTGTGGTATAACTATCATGTGAGCTATAGTGATCAGAAATATGGATTACAGGGTTTTTTTCAGAGAGATTCAGGGTTTCTTCCATGGAATATAAAATGATGTAGAAAGGATTCCTCAAACATTCATCTTTTAATTAGGAGAGGGGTTTATTTTGTACATTCTTATACAAAAGCTATTTTTTCTGATAGCAGAATGACCCAGGCTTTCTTCCCTGCAGTTTCAAGAATGAAGCATGCAATCTTATGCATACTTATTTGGATTTAATTAAGCCCACTGAATGAATGGGATTTACTTTTGAGCAAATGTTTTTTATTGGGTACGGCAATTATTACTAGCATAACTGTAGAGGTAAAACTCCTCAATATTACGTCGCACACTCCAAGAGTCTAAAGGTGAAATTCTGACAATAATTTATTTAAATAAACTATTCTAAACCTAAAAGGACTTCAGAATATAAAGTAGTGGCTTGAGGCCTTATAGGTATGTTGGAATTTAGCTCCCATAATGGTGTCGAACCTCCACATCTCTGAAGGACACCATCCTGGAAAAGTTGTTTCAAAATTGCGTGCTAGGGCATTTTATCCTCTTTTAATGACAAGCGAATTTATCAGCAAATGACCATCAATGACATTTGCATCCAAATCCCAGCAATGAAAATAGAGGAGCATTGCTATGGACTGGTCTGTTTTATACAGAAATCTCCTCATATCAATGTGAGAAAAAAAGTAAGCACCCTTTCCCTTATCTACGTTTGTGTCTCTGCTGGTGTGTAAAATCATCCTCAGTTTTTCAAGTCTGATCAACTGCCCAAAACACATTTCCCAGAGCCATAGTCCAGATTGAGGTGGGAAGAAGTGACTCGCTAGGCCCACAAGCTTTTTTTGGGGGGGGGGAGAAAGCGCGAGGGGAGGAGAGTGGGTGGGTGAGAAAGAGAGAGAAAGAGAAAAAGAAAAAGAAGAAATAAAAAGGAAAGATGCGCTCGGGCATGAAGAGCAAGGCTGACATTTTCCTAGCCACCCTCCTCGGAGGGCGAGATGCGCCTTAGTAGGAAAGACGACGAAAAAAGGAGGAAGCGTGCGGGAAGCCCTCCTCCTCCTCCCTCCCCCCATTTTCTCCTTCGCGCTGGAGGGAAGCTGGTGCGGCGGGAGCAGCTCCAGAGCCTCTAGGTGCCGGAGGAGCGACGCTGGCTGCGGAGGGAGTGGGAGGGAGCTGCAGGAAGAGCCGGGGAAGCGGCTTCTTCTTCTGCGCTTCAGGCAATGATGGCGCGGCGAATGCCTCCTCCCGCTTGGTAGCGTTTGAAACCGCTGAGGTCCAAGGCAAGCCGCTCGTTTCGTTTAGGGCGGCCGGGAAGGTTCCTGAGCGCTGAGCGCGGCGCCCCGCAGGCGGAGTGGGCGGGCTGCGCTGGGCCGGTGTGTGCCCGGCGCGCGCCAGAGGTCCTGCACAGCCGCCGCCGCCGCTGCCGCCGCCTGGATGCCAGAGGCTCCCCGGGAGCCGGCGGCCAAGGGCACTCAGCGGCAGCTGGAGGAGGAAGAAGACGAGGAGGAGGAGGAGGAAGAAGAAGAGGGCGACGATCCCGGGCGCGGAGCGGGGGGCCTTTCCGGGGCAACCTGGTCCTGGCCATGGCCTCCAACTTTAACGATATAGTCAAGCAAGGCTACGTGAAAATCCGCAGCAGGAAGCTCGGGGTGAGTGAGAACGGGGAGCCGAGCGCTTTGTTTCTCCTTCCCCCCCCTTCCCCGCCGTCATCTCCCGGGCTGGGTGGCGGAGGTGGAAAGACAGGCAGTCTTCGGAGCTAAAGGGACGTTGAGTCTGGCTTGCCGAGAGGGGTGGTCAGGGTGGTCAGGTGCGGGGGGCCAGGGCTCGCGCTTTGCCTCGGGTTCCCCGATCGCTTGCCTCGGAGCTGCCCGCTCTTGACTTCGGCGTGCCTGGGGTTTTTTTTCCTTTCTTCTTTTTCCTCCGTGCATAGCGCGCCTGCCTTGCCCGCTTCCCGCGAGGAAGGCAGCTCGCAGTGTTGGCATCTCGGGAGGCGTGAAGGCAGGCATCGGGGTTTGCTCGGGGAGAAAGCCCCGCGAATGTCAAGTCGGAATTGATCTCGACCAAAATGTGACTACGACCGCGGCTGGCATTAGATGCCGCTGGGCTGTGCTTTGGCTAGAAATCTGACTGAATTCATCCGGGAGGATTGTCCTTTTCACTCGACCTGGGTTTTTTTGGGAGGTGGGTGGAAGATTTTTTTGCGTGGCGAGATTGAGTGGAGTCGTCCACGTATTTAAACTTCCTTTTTCTCTCTCTGTATCTTAAAAAAAAGGCAACCCTTTTAGGCTGAAATCCTAAATGATTTTGACCAGTGAATAAATCCCCCCAGAAGATAATGAGGTTTCAGGAGAAAGATTGTATAGGACTGAGCAGTGGGGGAATGGGAAGCAGAGAGACTCCCCTGATGTTTCCCTCTCTGGTTCGGATAGCAGCAATTAACAGGTTGGAGTGTGACTGGGTCAAAGGTCAGGACTTTGTTATAAACTTTGTGCAGAAACATTTCCTCCTCTTCCTCCTCCTCCTCCTCCACCCACCAGGAGAAAGCTTGACAGAGCTGATGAGATTTCAACTTGAACAAGTCCTGTGAGAAGGCAAGCGGGGAAAATGCACAAAAATGCAAAAATGCACAAAAGGTCTCCTGGGTGGAGCTGTCTGATACTGGATTGATAGGACAACAGGGGAACCCCAGTTAGCTAAGGCTCTCTGCAGGTGGCAGCACCTGGCTGACCTTGGAAAAGCTTAGAAGATAAGCAGGGTTGAATCTACTTATGCTTTGAATGAAAATCCACCAGGCAATTCCTGGGTCTACCCTGGAAAAAAATTTAAAACATGGGAGGAAGCACAGCAAATCTCTTTTTTTTGTTGCCAAAAATTTACTGTCTCTGGACTACTGTCTCTAGTTAGCAGAGGTAGAATGCAACTTAAGACTTTTATTTTTACTCAGGTAGCTAAGGCTGAACACCACTGGTGGAAAATATGCAGATTCATTGCACAGGGCAGATGGTCTAGGAATTGGCAGGTGGCAGTTGCTTTCTCTTCACTTCAGCTGAAAGATTGTATAGGCTTGCAAAAGGAAGATTTATGGCTTTAAAGAAAACATTACTGTCACTTAGAATGATGATAAGTAATGAAAAGGGATTCACCTAATTTTTGGCACTATCCTCTGCTTCTGAATTTGGCTGGCTATCAGGAGTCAAAAAAAGGCTGTAGCTCTTACTGAATGCTGTCATCATACTTACCCAGAATAGAAAGTTCTTTAGGAATTTGTTAGGAAATATGGCTGTTCTGAGAGTATTTGACAGGTTGACGGCAAATAGTATACAAAGTCTTGTGTATAACCAGATGGAGATATTTGCTCTTGTTGAATGTTATAAGAATTTTATCCCACTAAAAGTCAAATAAATGTTTATTTATTATTGTAACCTGACCAATTACTAGATGTTTTAAATGATAAAAGATATAATACAATCAATAAATTCAATTTTCAATTTAAAAAGTGTTATGATTCCTGGGGAATTATTGTTTGCTTTTCATAGTTATCTGCTGCTTGCTGTGAACTGGATAGTTTACATCGTACTTGTCAAACAATATCAGAAACAGATTGTCTACAATTAGTTGCTCTATACATACTTGAAAACACTATACATAATTGAAAAAGTGAGTACAAAAATGCTGGTGATTATCATGATGTATTTGTATTTATTTTAATGATAATCAAGGTTGTTTCTTTGTTTGGAAAGAGTGTTCTTTTTCAAATCACAACATGTTAAATTCTTTTACATCCCTTAACCTCCTCATATCTTTAATGTGAAAAAGGTAATAAGCATTTTTAAGGAGTGGTCTAAAATTTTGCTTCTTGCTTATCAGACTAACAAATTTTAAAGATAGGCCACAGCTATTCAAAATGACAGTTCTTTTATTTTTTTAAGTTTGAAAAATAAATATAGCTGCCATAAAAACAGAATAAGTAGTTACATATACCTGTTTATCCATAACCATCATATTATTTGGTTTTGCAAACTATTCAGAACCATATACTGTATTTTTCAGAGTATAAGACACACCTTTTTCCCCCTTAAAAGAGTGTGGAAATGTTGGTGCATCTTATACACTGAATACCGCCATTTTTGGCCTTCCAAAGCCCCACCCCTGCATCCCATTTTTGTGAAAAATGGGCCATTTTTCACCAAAATGGTGTTTTTGCCTTCACCCACCTCCCAGCAGCACTCTGGAGGCTTCAACAGGGCTGGGGGAAGGAAAAATGCCCCCATTTTGGTGAAAAATGGGGGTGTTTTTGCCTTACCCCAGCCTTGCGAAAGCCTCTAGAGTGCTGCTGGGGGCCGGGAAAGACAAAAACTTTTTTTTCTTACTTACCTCTTTAAAATCTTGGTGCGCCTTATCCACCGGTGCGTCTTAAAGTCCAAAAAATACGGTACTATTTCATACATTTTGTTCTTTAAACTTATCGTCTCTCTATTTTTTCATGATCTCATCAACTTCATCCAACCAATAATTGTGTCAGTTATCCCTGATTCTTTCAGTCTTCCTTTATTTATTTGTTTTCTCATTCAGTCTTCATTAATTATTTTTATATAAACATAAGTACCCAATCCATATTCATTCAGTACCTAGTCATTTTTGACCCTTCCAATTAAAGTTTTAATATTTGAAGATATAACTCTATCATTTTTTTAAAAAAGCTCTCAAAATTGATGTAAATATTGCTTAAAGACAAAACAATTTATAGGCTAAACAAATGCCTAAATATTTAATTAGAGATTTTTTTCATGCTAATATATTTGAATTGTTTTCAACAGATAACATTTTGTATGGAAAAGACAACTTTCTAGACTAGTGCTGGTGAATCTTTTCAGCACCGAGTGCCGAAATGGGAGTGTGCGTGCGTGCCAGAAACTGGAAGAGCAGCCATCTGGTGTGCATGCACGTGCCAGGAAGATGATCTTCTGGTTTCCAGTGTGCGCATGCACACTGGCCACCTGGTCTTCTGGTTTCTGGTGTGCAGGGGTGCACAAAGACCATGGCCAGTGTACATTTATGCACCAGAAACCAGAAAATAATCTTCCTGGCATGCACATTCCCACTGAGCTGCTGCTCTTCCGGTTTCTGGCCCTCCCACATGTGTGAAGACCAGCTGGTGGTGCGCTGGAACACAGAAGAGCAATGGGTGATGGCTTGTGTTCCTGGAGAGATGGCTCTGTATGCCACTTATGGCACGCATGCCATAGGATTGCCATCACGGTTATTGATCTTCTCTTTTTAACCTGGTGTATTATCTAACTTGGTTTATCTAATCTGGTTTTTAGCATGAAGGTTAGCAAAGAATTCTTCAACATTGGAAAGATAGTACAACATCAGATTGGACATATAGGATTGCCTCTAAGTCCAATAATGACATAGGAGTTATTTAGAAAGGGGTTTTGCCATGCTCCATGTAATACAATATATTTTTCCTTGTTTCTGTGACTTTAGCTTGGGAAATGACTAATGTCAAATAATTTTCCATCCCTACACCATTGATATAGAGCAGTGATATGTACACTGATGCTTTCCATATTTTTGCTGAATTCATTCTGTCCCTTTCCATGTAAGCTGAAGTTGATAGTCATCTAAAACAAAACAACTGACCAACACCTGATTACTTATCAGTGATTCCATTTCTTTCTATAATACATATTTTCATTTTAAGATGATGTAAGTGAATTTTAAATATTCAATGATAATGGCTACGATGTTATGAAATGTTACTTCCTTTTGAAAAACAATAGATAAATTGATTTTTGTCACAAGATCTGGTGTACGGAATTGATATGTTAGTTAGATTTTGCTAAAAATTGCCAATTATATTACCAAATTGGAGTTGGAACACATTTAATAATCTCAATGATCAGCATGTATTGGTCTGTTGTACTTTATAGTTTTGATTGTTCATGTTGATCTGTACAACATTGTTGGCTGGATTCACTTGATAAAATTATTGACCTAAGTGATCCACTCTTTAGTATCTCTTTAATGTCTATTGTTATGCCACAATAAAGCCTCCACTAGTTTTAGGCCTTAAGATGTTTCTGGAAATGCATATGGTTTGATGTGGTTGAACTAGACAACCTGTTATGTTTAATAAATTCACCAAAGAAAGAAAAATTATATATATGAAGAAAAACTACACATAGTAGACCACTACATATACTTGGGCAATGGATCTCCATAGACGGTGATACAATAAAGGAAATTGAACGGCATGTTAAATGTGGTTGGTAGGCATTTGGCAAGCTAAGCATAATTTTCAAGAACAACCTCCCTCCATGCCTGATGAGAAAAGTTTTCAATCACTGTGCGCTACTTGCTCTAATATATACTAGTGAAATATGGACACTAACCTCACAATCAATACAAAAACTACGAGTTGGTAAAGAGCCATGGAAAGATACATGCTCAGCACTACAAGGCAAGATAGAAAAATCTGCACATGAATTAGAGAACAAACAAAAGCATAGAATATCACCAAGAGAGTAAAAGAATTTCAATGGAAATGGGCTGATCACATAGCAAGGAGGAGGAGGAGGAAGAGGATTATTCCCCTATGGAAAAGGAAAAGTGACAAAAGGAAATATGATAATACAAGAGGATT